CAAAAAAATTAAATAAATAAATAAATAAAGGGAATGATTTCAAATTTTAGTAAATACATCAACAGTTAAGGTTTTTTAAAAAATAAAAGTGCATTTGTATAAGAAACTGAACTCTTCTCAGTGACACCTAAGTAGTATTCATGTAATTAATATTACATGTATTAATATATGTAATTAATATTGCATTATACTTAACTATAATTTTTAGCATACTTTTTACATCTGTAGTACACAAGTAAACATTCAACACAATTAAAAATCCACAAGGGGTCAAAACTGCACACAAAAAACTTCTTGCTCCCATAAGTGTTTTTCTAAAGATAGTTGTTTAAATGTAATCCTCTCTGATTAATGATCCACAAATAATGACTTGTTTTTTTTCTGATCAGCCTGTGAAGCAAAACTGATACTAAATATAGAAAAAAGGTGCCACACCTCTGACTTTTAGCCTGGAAATCAAACATGAACCCAAGACCACAAGTTTTTATTAACAACCAGGTTTAAACAATTCTTTATACTAAATGAATTTATTAAACAAAATAGATAAACTCAATAAATTCTTCAACATTTTAACATTGCATTTTTTTATATTTATATAGTGTTTCTTGTAATTGTTTTGTGAATAGAAATGGTGACAAGTCAACCCATCTAATGCAAAAGTATTTGCATAAGTATAATCGTCAGTAAGATCCGTTTTTTCATGAGGTTATTTCTTGTGACATAAAAATTCTAGAATAAAACTAATTTTGTAAATCAAAACTCTTATCCGTTGATGTTTGGGGTTAAATGTTTGCAGAAATAAACAAATGAATAAGTACTAAATGCTGTTAATGATGTGATAATAAAATGGGATTTGAAGATAATGAACCTATAAACATTGATTGTAGAATATAGAAATTATTACTCTCTTCTAGTGATTTGCTCTGGTTTTCTGTACAAGGTTTTCTTTTATGTAACCTGCCAATAAATAACTGATATATAACTAATAGAAGCTTTTGTTTAAAACACACACACACACACACACGCACACACACACACACACACACACACACACACACACACACACACACACACACATTTACAATTAGACAACACCAATTGTAATATATATATATATATATATATATATATATATATATATATATATATATATATATATATATATATATATATACCTACACATGATAATACAAATCAATAATCTGATATATTTCTAGTGGTCTTTTACATAAATGTAAAACCAAACAATATTGATGATCACATTTAAACCTTTTTGCTAAGATTTCTTTATATAAATCCGTTAAAGAGCAGAGTCTTCATTGTTTTTTCCAAAATATGTGATCATAGGTTGCCATGTCTCATAACATTTTTGGACAGATCCTTTATTAAATAGATCATTTTAACCATTTCAAATATCATGAATCACACATCCACATTGAAGCTTTAGATGGAGCTGCTAATTTCCACTCAAGTAATATTCTTCTCACTAATAAAGTAGCAAAGGTGATAACATTTTTTTCCTTGTTTGTCAATGATATTTTGTGTTCTGGTACACCAAACTTTTATTTCTAAATTAAAGACATCATTTAGTGTTTTAAATATTTGTGTCTAATAGTCACTCAACTTTTGACAAGCCCAGACCATATGGAAAGTCAGCCTTGTCACATTTACATCAATCACACACCTCATGAGTATCAGGATATATTTTTGAGGGTCTACACTTTGTGTAGGCATAATGAATCATTTTAAATTGTATAAGACTGAGGCGTGTGCAGGAAGTGAATCCATTTACTCTACTCAGAGCCGCATTCATTATTTCATCAGGTATTTCAGTTCCAATGTCGTATACACTTTCCTTTAATTCTATAAATTAAAGCATCATTTGAAGACACAATAATCATGTATATTGCTGCAATTTGACATTTAAGAGCAGTAGGACACTGTAGAATATATCCAGCATTGAAGCTGGTGGCAGGTCAGGAAAAGTTGAGCTCTGATCTCAAATAAAGTGTCAAGCTTGAAATTAATAAAATAGATTGGAATGTGACAATTAGAATTTTATAGAGAGGTCAGGTCACTAAAATTAGTGAAGGTGTTGTCTAGAAGTAGTTGTCTAAATTTGGCCAACCATTCCTTCTGCCACAGAAAACATGTGAAATCTATTTAGGGAACAAATGGTTATTACATACAGGGCTTAGCATAGAAAAATCGGTTAGTTTTTTCTTCTGTCTTGGGACCATATCTTGAGTGTAGAGCATATAACAGGGTTTGAAGAATATTTAATGGGAGAAAATGGTAACTTCGTTGTTATCAATGTAGAAAGTGATGTAGAAGTATTTGCTTCAGTTTTACATCAATCAACCTCAGACATATTATTCCAACTAACAATCTTTTGGGGGTTAGCAGCCCAGTAGTAACTTATAAAATTAGGAAGCACTTAACCGGATCTGTGTCTTTCAAGAAGCTCCTCGCAGGTTCTAGGATTCTTCCTATTCCGTAAGAATGATAAAAAAGGGTTTATTTATTATGTGGAAAAAAGCTTTTGGGGAAAAAACTAAAAGGGACTACACAGCCTCATTTTGACTGCATTATTACAGTGCTGCAGTAATCAAGAACAACAAAAATTACACATGTTCATTATGCATTGTGTGTTGTTTATTTCTTTATAATGTACTTGGTAATATGTGGTTTCGCTAAAGATTTATACAGTATCTTGCATTCAATATTTCAACAGTTCTTCCTAGGGAAAGTGTAAATGAGTGTATATGACCATAATGAATATGAATTATTTAAGTGAAAAGATGAATTGATAACCTTGCAATTTGTAGGAGGGTTTTTTGGCGACCCCCATACTGTATCATAGTATCAGAACATACACATTTAAGAGAGCCCTGCCTTTTATTTTGAGCCTATATGAGACCAGTGGAAGTTGTAACAGATTAATGTGACTGTCGCATCTCTTTTGCATGAAGTTTAATTGATCTATATCTATTTTTGATAGCAGTTCTTGATGGCTAAAATAGGCTTAGGTTATAGCTCAGTTTAATGTTTAATCAATTTTAATGCCATTACTGCTTCATAAATCATTTAATTTGAAATCTTACTGAAATGTGACTGACTCCATTTGTAGCACATACAGATGTGTTATGCAATATATTCTTCTTTTTAATTTCAGAGGCCTTGTTTAAAAAAACAAAACAAAAAATAAACCTCTCATGAGAAATGTTTTTAAAATAAAGCATATCAACTATCCCTAGTCTGACTTCTGTTAAGCTGAAAAAGAAAATCGAAATTTTACAGACCCAAATCCCACTATCTGCAAATCTTAAATAGTAGAGAAATAAATACGTTTCCATCCACTGTTGAGTATAATACTTATATAACACATGGTAATGATGACAAGTCCACATTTATAATCCTTTAGAAGAGACCAGCATCTTCTGTCAGAAAAACTGCTTTACAATCTTGAACCTGTACAGCATCTGCTTCACCATGGCTCTGAAACAAAGACAACATTATTTGTCATATCTGTAGCCAAATTGGGTCAAATAAGCCCATATTTAAGCCAAATTTAAGTTTTGAAACAACCTCACATTTTTAGAGTGTGATGTCCCTGAAAAACACTGAAAAAAGATCTGTGTTTAGCCAAAGCTCAATGCTACGCCACTGCCTTAAAGCAGTTTCTGCTGTTTACATTTTATTATTTTGAATGTTAACAATGATGAATCATGTCAGAGGAGCACTATACGAAGTAATCTTTGTATTGTAAACTATGTGTGAACTATAACAATATAACTGGCATGTCAAGGGTGAGTTTTAATAGCTTAGCCACTCCCTGTACTTTTATTGCAGTTATACAATGTAAATGCACCAGGATATGAGTGTGTGGTGACATGATGTTTGGTATAAAAGGCCATCAGGGCCAGAAGTCTTTAAATGAATGTGTGGAATTTAATCACATAAAGTTTGACCATGTTAGCAAGCAAAACAGCCAATGAAATCACAGTGACTTGTGCTATATTTGCATATGTGATGCTGTAGTACATTGATATATAAATGGAATGTAAAAATGATGGTCAAAGCATCTTTACTTTCTATCACTACATAAAATTAGAGCCAAAATATCCCAACCTGGCCCAAGCTGTCATCATGATCTGGAGCCACAATCCTGGCCAAACCCAACCGCAAGAACACAATCATGACTGCATGCCTCTTTTTGTAACATTACATAATTTAAGGAGGAAAAAAGTGCAATTATATATTTATTTTGACTCACAACCTATTTGTTTCAATGAAGGAAGTTGTTGTTTTTTTAGAAAATGACAATTGATCAAAATAAAAAAAAATAATTTTATTTGTGTCAAACCTTTCTTTCGCTTCTGTAATATTTAGGTCTGGAGTCTGTGGAGGCCATATCATGGCTGTATTTATTTTATCAGCTGTTTTTTTCTCTTTTACAAATAATTCCACTGCAATAAAGTGTGATAAGGACAATTATCTTGCTAAAAACTAAAATCATTTCTAATGAGGTGATTTCTGGAAGGAGTTTCATAATGGGTTCAAACCTGTACCTTTCAGTATTCACAATCCCATCAATTTAAACAGTTTTGCCAACAGCACTGGCAGAAATGCACTCTCAAACCAGGACAGAGTCTTTAGACTGTTTCTGAAGGTTAAAAGCACTCATTCTTCCAACTCTCTCCAACGATTTCTTTTAAGCATCTTTAACAATTAGACCGAACTTTTTGTTTTGTCCCCCTATTAATCTAGGGTCGCCATAGCTGAATGAACTTATCCAGCATATGTTACGCAGCTGCAACCGATCCCTGGGAAACATCCATATGCACATTCACTATGCTACGGACAATGTAGCTTACCCAGTTCACCTATACTGCATGTTTTTGAAGCATGCACCCAGAGGAAACCCACACAAACATGGAGAGAACATGCAAACTCCACACAGAACACCAACTGACCCATGCGAGGGTCGAACCAGCGACCTTCTTGCTGTGAGGCGATTGTGCTACCCACTGCGCCACCATGCTGCTGTTTACACCATGCTGCACTATACACTCATATAAGCAATAAATATAAGCAACATTTTTAAGGAAGTTGTCCCATTTTAACATACCATCGAATGTTTTACTGTTTGTTGTGTACCTTCTAATTTATTTCTTTTTTCCATTTGACTTCTTTGCTCTAACTATACTAAATGCACAACACTGGATGTTATTGTACTATGACAAATATACCATGACATTATTGGCTACAATTGATTAGGCTATTTATATGTGACAACACTATTATTATTGCTTAGTGATGAAGAAAGAAAAGTGAAACACATAAAAAACATGATTCTTCTGCTATGTGGATTTAAAAAATATATACATATGATGTTGAGGGAAGAAAACATGTGCCAGGGTGTGGTTCAATCCACTGTGGCAACCCCTGATATAGCAGGGAATAAGTGAGTAAAGGAAAAACTAAAGGAAAGTGAGTGAGTTTATATAAGATATTGCTTTTCATTTAAAAAAATTCTTCCTAAAATGGATTGCTCATCAAAATTATAATAAAATTCTATCACCATTTATTCACCCTCAACTTGTTTCAAAACTATTTGAGTTTCTTTCCTCTGCTAAACACAAATTTATATAAATATATATATATATATATATATATATATATATATATATATATATATATATATATATATATATATATATATATATATATATATATTTATATATATATTATATATTACCGAGTGCCTTAGTGCCCCCCACCAGTGCCAATATACAGCCATATCACAGTGCTACGAGTGTGATATTGCGTTTATACAACTGTTTGACAGCATAATTGTTTATATAAAATCCAAATCAAACATGGAGAGTCTCAAAAACCCTTTTGTATAAGGAACTACTTTGTTCCGTGTTGGATTCAAATCATAAGCTGACAGTTAAACAGCAGAGCAAGTATCTTTTAAAGATTCTAACGACACTTTAGATCTGTAGTGTCTACTTGTTGCTGGCTGTATGTGGACGAAGTAATACACAAATGGTAAAGAGGCTGTACGGGTGCTGATATTATTTAAATATATCACGGCTATCAGCCAATCAGATTCGAGAACCAGATATATATATTGAATAATGCCAGAAACATATTGACATCCAGTGTGTTTTCCCTCACTACTAGATATTTATTAGTTTTGAACATATTTTAAAATATTTTTCCTCATATATGTGTATGCGTGTGTCTGTGTGTTCAGCAGAAAGAAAGAGACGCATAGAGGATTAAAACCATGCAAGGGTGAGTAATTGGTCATAAAATTAAAACTTTTGAGTGAACTATAACTTTTAAGTCCTACGCAACCCAACCCGCTTCGATCTGGTATTGAAACAGCGACCTTCTACATGAAAGTCAGTTGCTCTACCAAGGAGGCTAAAGACCATGGCCTCTAATGTCTGTCCCTAGAGCACGTTTTACAGGTCAGAGGAGTAAGGTTTACTTGCACAGCACCTACTTGCTGTTACATTAAAAGTAGTTTATGCGCTTTTGCTGAAACTCATTTCATTACAAGATTTCGACAAATTTTGACTATATATATATATATATATATATATATATATATATATATATATATATATATATATATATATCATGACTTAACACAAAACAAGCAATTTGGAAAATGAATAGATTAATTTACTGTTAAGATGCATAAAATATTGTTAAAAATCTTTATGTGCCTATTTTGTTATATTGTTGATTAAAGAAAACAATTAACATTTACACAACATCAAATAATTACACTACACTTAAAACATGAGTTGAGTTTAAAGCAATATAACCTTTCCCAGCGATCACTATGAATCATTGCCTTTCATGATTTGACACTGCAGGAACATTTTAATCATATGTAAATGAACTGAATACATTGTGTTTAATCCTAATTGAATGGTAGCTTTATAAAATATGTTTACTATAGCATTAGATCCAATCTTTGTGTTATGACATTATGCAAGCATTAGGGTCAGAATGGTAAACAGACTGGTGAATGGAGGGCTTCAGTGCATGTTAACTAACCCAGTTTATGTATTTAATCAGCATTGTGATGTTGCTGCGCCATTGTTCAAATTGAATAGATCTAGTCTACGTCAGCTATGCAAGTACCTGTAAGACTCCATCATAGGCAAACCTATTAGTCCTTTTGAATATAAACCTTGGTTTTCTAGATGAGCTTGGGAAAATTTTTGCTTTAATAAAAATGTTATTTAAAAGGTTATCCATCATCATCATCATCATCATGATACAAGTATTTTCCTAAAAATATTTTAATAATATTAAAAGTAAAAAAAATTTTTTTTTTTTTTTTGACAAATGCAAACTTTATTTTAAGCCCAAAAATGAATTAAATAAAATGTGCATAATTGTAAAAATTATTTTATGTCCACTTAACAGTTCCAAGTTACAATGGGTTTACTCACTTTTTTAAGTGGTCAACTATTTAATTTTAAGGCAATAGGTTTACTTACTTTTTACAGTAACTAATCCCTTTTTACAGTGTACATAATGATCTCAATGCTTAAGTACAATAGCACATATATAATGTGTAACTAATGATTGCCAATAATGATTAAGCATTCATATATACCTCTCCTATCATCTCTGTGGGTTCATCATGTAGATCCCATTTTGGTTGCCATGTTGAATGCCTGGTTCTCCCTGTTCAAGAAGCAATGTAGTAAATGTTTACATTATTCAGTTGTAAAAGAATCAAGCATCTTATATATTGATAATAATGAATTTAAATCTCAGTCAAGATGCCTTTGGATTCTTAAATAGTATCTGGATGCAGCCTTTATGATGCAAGCTGAGATTGCATCACTCTGAGATGCAATGTCAGACACAATACACTCAATGGAGCTAATGATGTCACTGTGAGGGGTATGGATAGGTGAGCTCATTAAAAAGCATTGGATGCAGCTCAAATTACATCTGCACCAAGTCTGCAGCCAGACCACTCTAATACATGAATTATTAATTTAAAAAATTTTGATAAAAACAAAAAGTTCTTTAAATTTGAAAATCTGAATCATAGAATGAGTCCGAATAGATGTAAAATATTTTTTAAATGCTAATTTTATAAATTCCCAAGAGTTATATAGTTGAGTTTCACAATTTTTGAATCCATTCAGCCAATCTCGGTGTCTGGCAAGAGCTCTTTTAGCTTAGCTTAGCATAAATAATTAAATTGAATTAGACCATTATCATCTCACTCAAAATCACCATAGAGTTTCTATAATATTCATATTTAAAGCTTAACTCTTATGTAGTTTTAATTGTACTATAACCAACAGAAAATGAAAACTAAACTTACATCATAATATTCATTGAACTTTGCTGCAGTACCATTGTTGCAGCAGGCACAATGATATTATGCATTACCTGAAAAAAGTCAGCAACTACTGTATGTAACATCCAATTTACAAACTTCCTGAATAAATGGGTGGTCAAATTATGTTGATGGAAGTTAGACGATTTCCCAGCCTGATCTCATGAGGAATGTAACTATTTTACATTTTGTCAGTTTAGTGGCTAAATCGTACCAATTCGTATAAGTTCAGTCGTATAAAAATGTATGACCCTTAAAGCCATCATTGTGTATAAGCAAACCATACTAAATTGTACGAATGAGATTGTAGAAATTCATACAAATTAGCCACTAAATCAAAAAGTTATGAATTGTAATCCAATCTAATCTGATTCAATTATCTGCCCTAAACTATAAGCTAAAAGTGCTCCTGCCAGACATTGATTGGCTTAATTAATTCAAAAATATTCTGCTGTTTATATCTAGGGAAGTTGTGAAATAAGTCTATTTTCAAATAAAGGGGAGTGTTTCTTTAACTGGACTTAAAATCAATCAAGTGTTGAGTGATAGTGATGATCTTACAAAAGTCGGGTAGTTTGGGTTCCTCTCAGGTGTGTGTGACATGTATGTGGGATTAGCAAGATGCTCTTTGAATGATGTTCTCTCATAAGGTGTTACAGTTGTTGGTGTTGGTGTTTCTTCCTTTTTCTCTTTTCTCCTACAACACCAACAACAGCATATCTGGAAAGATGAAAATGAGATTATGGTAAACAATATCACCACTTCTTCTGTCATCACATTACCAAGCTTTTAAAAAGAAAACTTGTTCATTACAGTGGATAGTTCACCCACAAATGAAAATTTACTCACCATTTACTCATTTGTTCTGAACCTTTATAAGTCTATTTCTTTCTTCTGTTGAGCCATGTTGGACACTGTTAGCTATTAATATCCATAATACGAACTCAAAGGCTACATTCCTTAAAATATCTTCTTTTGTGTTCAACAGAAGAAATAAAATAGGTTGGAAACCACTTGAGGGTGAATAAACTTGAAGTAAATTTTAATTTGTGTGTCAACTATTCTTTTAAATCCTAACAAAGTGTGATGTTTTCAGAATGTAACAGTTTATGTTTATTATATATGTAATTACTTTTTAGTAAAAAGTACATGAATTAAATTATATATTAACTCTTTTGCTCTGTGATATATGGTTGAAGTGTGCTGACATTTATGGAAAACTTTTATTTTAATGTCATTTCTTGTATTGAAACATGTTATATTGTTTATTTAAATATTTCTATTTATTGTAGATTTAAAAAGGAATAACACACTACCATTAAAATTATTATCAATGGCAGTACATGTGCTTCAATTGGTTAGTTAGCACACCAGATTAAGTGTAATTCTGTAAAGTATGGCAAAACTTTATGCCACATTTGTGTTTTGTTTTAGTTGTACTTTGATGGTTTGCTTAATTAGGTCAATAGTTCATTTTCTTGCTTATTAATTACTTCAATACGTCACATCAGTTTCTGCTAAGTAAACTTGTCTTCCTTTGAAATTACTAATTACTGAGTTTAGACTGTTTTATAAATGTAGCTGTTAAAAGTGTGGTTAATCTGATTCTTCTTTGTATTATCCTGTAAAAAATGTTAAACTACACAAAAGTCTGGCATACATTAAAACAATTATTTTATGTTATTATTAAAATATTTCATTATTATTCAATTCTCATTTATTTCATTTTGACATTATCTGTAAGTACAGGTTCATTAAAACATCTCATTTTAAAAACTGAAATACACTACAAGCTTAATCAATGCAATTAAGTGCATTTTGTGAAACCTGTGAGTTTACGAAGTGAAATGTCAGTGTAATTACCAGAACTAAGATGATGATGAGAAGCACTATGCAGATGCATGCTAACACTAGCAATGCAATGGCCCAACCAGGAAGCCAAAAAGTGCCACTTCCTGAGTAGAAACTTGCTGAACCCGAAGTAGTTGTGGATGGTTGAAATAGCCATTTAGGTGTGACAGTTTCTGCATTGTGAAATAAACACATTTAAGAATTTTCTGATGATATTTGTTTCATCAACACTTGTTTGAATAGTTTGAAGGGGAGCATCAAAATAAAGTTTTGCGTAAGGTTTTAGAAGTACTTCATAAAAAGGTTCATGTACACACAGAATATGTGCTATAATTATCACATTATATCATTTACTCCACTCTATTTGTTACAAACATGCATATTTTTTTTTCTTTTAGACACAAAAGATAATATTTTAAAAAATCATGGACTTCTATAATATTTGTTTTTCCTAAGGATGTCATTGGTTTCCAGCTTTCTTTAAAATATTTTAGTTTATGTTAAGAACCTGAGGAGGGGAACAGAAATGATATAATGGAATTAATCCACTTATGGGAATTTCGTTCAGAAAGCCAATCATCTGAAAGAGTATGTAAACGGGCCAATGAAATGCCAAATGAATTGGCAGCGTCAGCTTGCGCACCTGATGCTTGTTGCAATCAATTTAGCATAAAAGCATAGTGAAAGCAGGATGAGGCATCCTTTTTAAGCTGAAGAGACTGATACCTACAGCTAAGGGAGTCATTATGGTGATGCAGCATAGCATTTCCATTTCTCTTCTCAGGGAACGAGGGTTACTTTAGTAACCAGAGCGTTGCCCGTTGGATGGGGAACTTCAAAGCTATAGTGGAATTAATCAACTTATGGCAAATGTCTGAAAAATACCATGATGACTGAACCTTACCTCCGCTTCCGATAAAAGGTTTGCCAGGCAAACGTGAGCGCACCTGCATCATAAAGAGGTGCGGCCTTCCTACATCTTCCCTGGCCCTTACCTATCCCACTTAAAAGAAGATTTATGGATTTAAATATATATTTTTGGTAACCGCAAGCGTCTAGAAAATTTCTAAGAATTTAAACAGATAGTACATTGGGAAAGCATGCAGTCCCAAAGGGGAGGACCCTGCGGAGGCCACCTGCTACCCAAATGGGGAGATATGATGGCAGAGTATATGGACTAGACCTGAGAAGTGGGAGTACGCATATAATAAGATTGTTAGCGGAGAGGGAAGACAAGGGTCCACCTGCACCGTGGCTGAATAAGCATATGGCATCGCCTAGTGGGGATCACGTATAGCTGGCACCTATACCCAAAAATGCGGGCTGACCAGAGGGCAGACGTACAACGTAATGGGCCAGCGAGTGGCTCCTCCGCTAAATCAGTGCTGGGGGCCTCGGAGGAATCTGCAGGGCTCACCTAAGAGGGGAACTTTACTGACAAAGTAAACACATATCTCTGTGTTAGGGAGAATGGCGCAGCAAGCATGTTTCGTCACCTTAACCGAGTTGTTTCCTCAATCACCAAGGGTTACCTAATACCCTTGAGGAAACCGGCTTAACTCGCAATTATAAAACCTTGCAAATGTATTAGGTGTCGCCCAGCCTGCAGCTCTACAGATGTCTGTTAGAAAGGTGCCGCGTGCACGCGCTCAAGAGGATGTGATCCTCCGAGTGGAGTGCGCATGCACTCCTGGGGGACACGGCTTGCCCTGGCTCTGGTAAGCGAGGGAGATGGCATCTACTATCCAGTGGGCCAACCTCTGTTTCGAAACGCACGTTCCTGCTGCCGACCGTCATAACAGACGAAGAGCTGCTTAGATGATCTAAAACTCTGAATGCCTCCAGGTCCCTGACCCTCTTAATCGATGCCAATGCAACCAGCAGAGCTGTCTTCAGGGACAGAAATCTTAAAGAGACTGAGTCGAGTGGTTCGAAGGTATCTGTACACAGGCTCATGAGAACGAGGGCGAGATCCCAAGACATGAGAGGGGGGCATGAAAGGGGGCCGGGTGGATAAATTCGCCCAGCGCCTCTGAGGAACTGGATGATGAGGTTATGCCTTCCCACGGTGCTGCTAGCCACCGCGTCATGATGAGCAGATATGGCAGCCACGTAACCTTGAGTGAGGAGGGCGACAGCCTGCTCTCCAGCTTCTCTTGGAGGAAAGAAAGCACAACGCTGATCTGGGGTTTTCGGGAGTCTTCTTTGCGAGAGACGCACCATTCAGTGAATAGACTCCACTTCAGGGCGTATAGGCGCGCCTCGTGGAGGGGGCTCTAGCGTGAGTGATGGTATTAACCACTGCAATCAGTAGGTTATCTAAGTCTTCCTTGCGTCTGAGGACCACATGTGGAGGTTCCAAAGATCGGGGTGAGGGTGCCAGATGGTGCCCTGTCCCTGAGAGAGTAGGTCCGTCGCGAGGAGGGAGAGCTCTGACATCCATGTCCGGTTGGGCCAGTGGGGTGCAACTAGCAAGACCTGCTCCTCGTCCTCCCTGACCTTTCACAGTAACTGCATGAGCAGGCTCACTGGGGGAAATGCATATTTGAGGGACAGAAAACACATGCTGCTGCTCTAGCACTAAAAAAATCGGTGGAGAGCAAGGAACAGTGCCACCAGCTTTTTACAATTGAAATGCCAATGCAACTGGATTTCTTTTGCTGTCGAACTCTCTCAGACAGTTCAGCATTTGCTGAGCACGCTCTTCAGAGAGGCGCGCTGTCATGGTGACCGAGTCCAGCTCCAGCGTGAGAAAAGAGATCCTCTGCACGGGGGAGAGTTTGCTCTTTTCTCGGGTGACCCAACAGGTGGAAGTGCCGATGCACCTTGTCTCTGTGCAAAATCAATTGCTCTCGAAAGTGGGCTAAAATCAGCCTGTTGTCAAGATAATTGAGTATGCAGATGCCCGCAAGTCGAAGGGACACTAAGGCACCGTCCGCAACCTTATGGCGAAGACCCCTGGAGACAGAGAGAGCCCGAAGGGAAGGACTTTGTATTTGTACAATTCATACAATTCAGATAATTGGCTTTCTGAACAAAATTCCCATAAGTGGATTAATTCCACTATAGCTTTGGAGTTCCGCATCCGAAGGAGAACACATTATTTCCAGAAAGCTTTAATTGAACTCAGCTGAATAAAATAATTTATAAAACCATGAAGCAGGATTGCAATACATAATACATAATTGTTAGAATAATGGATTTTAATGGACACTAGATTTATGATGAATACTCACCATTGGTGTATTGTCCGTTGATGATCATACCATTTGGTAGAGTCTTATTTTCTATGGCGTTCAGGAACAAATGCTTGATGACAACATTATTTATAAAAATTGTCTGGAACTGGATGGTACAATTTGCAATCACAGACCCCTTACTGAAATCAAGCAGAAACAGCATTTTGTGAATTGATTTTTACATATTACGCAGGAACATTGCCATAGTAAAAAAAGAAGCTAACATTAGCATACAGTTGTTTTCTGAGCAAGATTTAATTTTCTGATAAATATAAAATAAATGTTTGGTCCCACTTTATATTAAGTGGCCTTAAAATATGTACATGCATAAAAAAGAATAAGTACAATGCACTTATTGTGTTCATAATGTATTACAGAACACTGTCTTGTGCTCTCGAGATGGGATATGGTTATGGTTAGGGACAGGTTTGGTGGTATGTGTAGGTTTAGAAGTGGGTTACGTGTAAGGGATGGTCAAAAATGTAATTACAAAGGTAATTACAGAAATTAGTTACAGATGAAATTGCATGCAGGTATTAATCAATCATATAAGTACAATGTAAAAACATGTATTTAGACAATAAGTACATTGTATCAAGTGTTTAATTTCAGTGCAATCAGGCCACCTAATATAGAGTGGATTTTTTTTTAAATGTTGAAAACCGATAGCATTTGACATCCATAGTAGTAAACAAAATTACTTTGTAAGTCAATGGCTGCCAGTTTTCAACATTCAATGTTCAAAACTGAAAAAAGGTTTGAAGAATGAGTAAATCGTGATCACTTTCTTAGTCACTTTCTACTTTTAACTTAGTTTAGAGTAAATGGTGAGTAAAGTTTACATTTTTTGAATAAAATTTCGCACAAAGTACAATTAGGTCACCATTTTACATTTTATTATCTGCAAATACAATTTTTAATTTATTATTATTAGTTGTATGAATAGTAATTATCCAAAGTCATTCAAGACCAACTGACAAAATAATAATCAGTTGAGGTTTACCTGAAATGCATACTATTCACTCCTCTGTAGCTGTCTTTTGTAGAACAGGTGGGGCAGTTGAAAGCCATGTCCAACTGTAAAGGTCAAACAGGATCAGGTAAACAACTACTGACATTACACTGCTGTAATCTGTAGAAATAGTTTTGACATTCATTAATAGATCAAAGCAAAAACTTACAACATTAGTCACTTCTGTGTACATGTTCTTGTAGTACAGTGAGGCCGTGTTGAGGAGCGAGTCATTGAAGATGCGGTTGTTGATCTCCATGCAAAGGGAAAAGGAGTAGAGCGGTGTGGGGTAAACCTGAGCTTCTGACTGAAGCCCCTGGATGATGTTCAAGATGCTCAGGTTCTGGGCACCTGTACAAACACCACATGTTTAATTGCTGTCTTATCTACTATTTGGTAACTCAGAATTCATTTTTTACAGGATTAATGCATTTCATTTGTATCATAAAAATGAGATCTCTTCCAATGTTACGTCGCAGGACATATTTGTTTTTGTTTTGTATTTACTTTCTTCCAACCTTTCTCTGTTCTATAGGAGATAATGACCATCACCTGTTGCCAATGATGAACTGCTCACTAATTAGAGGATGAGAAGAGCAGTAGACATTTAAGCAGCATGTCTCCTCTAGAACAGCGTGTTTTGTGTGTTTGGAGGCTCTTTTGTGAGGCTTTACATTTTTTATTTGATCCTTTAAGGCATTGTCTGTTGATTAAGCTTTAATTTGTTTAAGTTCCGATGGGCTGTTCTCAATCTTATGTAGTTTTCGCCTAAGAAACTCTTTTTGGTTGTGAATTTTCTTTTGATTTTTCAATACTACTTTATTGACTCTTTACTTTGTTTTACTAATTTGGCATTATGTTAGTAAAGAGGGGGTGCCATTTTTCTTTTTGTAATTGTTTTCTCTTGTTTATGTTCGTAAGGGAGTGGGGGTATTTTTCTTTTCTTTTATAGATTTAATTATTTTCTTTCTATAAGTTAGAAAACTTTTTGTTTGTTGTTTTGGCTTGAATCCTTCTTAAAGTTTTGTTGGAAACCCTCCCTTAATCATTGAATAAATCTTTTGTTATTCTTTATTCAATTTGCATTGTAAGTTATCCTCTTTGGGTAATTTCTTTTGTTTAGTCTATTGCGAGGTTGCTCATGGGAATTCATTGCTATCGCTGACACACACACACACAAACTCCACTAACAATCTAGATAAATCGCAAAGCCTTTCAACCCCAAAAAACATTACATAAAAAAATAATAATAATTCAAACTATTAATAAAAACTACTGAATCAATTATAACAACACTTTTTTGACTTTATTTACATTTAAAATTTAGAAATTTCTTTCAAATGACATTTTGTTAGGTTATTTACAGTTTAAGAAGTGTTTCGTAAACGGTTTGTTGACAATAATCTTACAGTACAGTGCTGGATTATTATTTCTGGATGTCTATTAATTTAAATGTTTATTCAAATGTATACATATGTTTTTAAATTAGACATTTAAACAAAATAAAATATCATACTTTTTTTTTTCTTTTAACAAAAATTCTTCACTTTTGTTTGAATAAAAATATTTATTCCTTTAAATGAGATGTTGAAAAACTCTATTTAAATTTATAAAAAAATGTTACATCCTTTTTTACCACATACAGTCTGTGACAGGTTATTCTTAATCTCCTATGAAAGGCAACATAAGAATTATTGCCACAGTATTTCTACAATCTAAAAGTGTAAAATAAGACAGTGAGTTTACTCTTTTTTAATGAGTTGTCTCATTATTTATTCATTATTGATCTTTTCCAGCATTTTTGATTTTCTGATATTTTCTATTTATTTATTTTTTATTCATTTAACCTATTACAATGTGACAGGTAAGCATCTTTTTATAATTTATGAAACAATAAATTATTCAAAAATTTCTACAATCCACCCGTGTAAAATTAGGGAAAAAAAAGAGTAAAAAAAGAGTTTCCTAACAGTTTGTTCACACACTGTCAGTGTTTTACATGGATATTTGATTGAAGACAAAAGTTGTAATGTACCTGTTGCAGAAAAAAGCAGAAAGCACAATGCTGCTCCAGTGTAATGCAATCCAATGACCTTCATCCTGAAGAAACTGAATTTCATTCACTGAATGATGAAGTTATTCCTCAGATTGAGCAGCGTCAATAATAGACTATCTTGTGTCGAGTGATCTGGAAGCAAATGAAGTAAAATATTTTATTTGCACAGCTTTTATTCAGGGGCAGACCTTCAGTTGTCCATCAAATGTGGATGAAGGCGTGGCTTTATGGGACCTAAAGTTAGTAACGTGTGATGAATCACCTTAATCTTTTTGTTTCACTTCATCCTTTTTCATTGTTATTCCACAAGAAACAACATGGATTGTTTGACCTGCACGCACTATACTGAGAATTCTGCTTGCGTCAAAGTGCTATGACTAGGCTGTGTTTGACCAGGGGTTAAAGCATCTACAATAGTTTGCTGCACCTTTACCAGATGGATACGCATGTTACTTCACTGCACAGGATGTGTTCTTATGGAAACACAGCAAACAATAGGATACTGGTTTTTAAGGGAGTTTTACTGACACAAAAAGTTCTGGTATGGTACAAATCTGTTGTGGAGACATGATTAAAGATTTAACTTATTTTGAAAATGTTTAGTAAAAACTAAAATTACAAACAATATTACTTAATATATATATATTTAAAAAATTTTATGTAAATTTGCTTATGTGTACCATCATGTCAAAAGCTAAAAAAGAATACGGGAATGTAAAATACCAAACCAAAAGTATCAACTGAGGATTGTTTTTATGTTCCACACTACACCTGTTGGAAACAGGATTTGTTGCAATCTTGGAAGAAATGTCAAATAATGTGTGCTGACTGGTTGATTGAACTGACCCAGAGTTTACAAGTTTGACGTTTGGACATTAAAAGAGAAGGTGGATTGGCTCCACAAGCCCGTAGCCAGCCTGGTAAAAGGAGTAGTTCTTTTTTTCTCAAAAAGTGGACCTTTTTAATACGCCTCTGTTTCTTTTTAACTATGAGATTTAAATACTGCATTTTAGTGACATTTTTACTAATAAAACAATGTATTAAAAATATTTCCTAAAAATTGCAATTAAAAAAAATTAAAACAAGACTAGTTTTTAAAATACAAATGTATTACATGATATATCATTAGGAAAAAATAGCAATCTGTTAAAGTTTTAAAGGAAAAAAAAACTGTAGCCTACTATCATTTATTAGACAAAAAAAAACAAACTGGCCAGCACATTCAACTGTCCTTAGTCACAATTTGGCCATTTCAATAAAAAATAATAATTAAAAAATAGTAATAATAATAATAATAATACAATAATAATAATTCTTCAGAAGTTTTCTAGCCTCTTTGGTTAAAAAAAAAAATTACATTTGAAAATTCCTGGATATCAACAATAGCCAAAATATATTCAAAGTAATTTAATATGGTCCGCTTCTGGTGCTACACACCTTTTTATTGCTCTTTTTTATTTCAGGAATAAGATCCAAGATTTAGATTTAGTTACCTGTAAAATGTTTTCTCTTTTAAAGAACAACACAGTAGTGAAAGAAGACTTCTCTTACATCAGATTATAGTCCCACCGAAGCAACAGCCGACAGACGAATAATTTGTTCTTAAAGCCTTATTCGATGGATTATTTTCATATATCATAGCAGTCAAAATAGGAGAAATTAGTTCATATTTGGGAAAAATTCTGGACCTTTGTCAGTGTGGGTGGGTCTTTCAAACCCCGCCCAACCCCCCTGGCCACAGGTCTGAAAAGTTAGAACAGGTTTTATTTCCAGCTCATAATTTATTTGTTTATATTCATTTTGTCCAAAAAAAGTATTATACCTGTCCAGTTTCATCGGATTTATATCCGATCAGAATAAAATGAATGAAGAGAACAAACAGCCTCTAAAACACAGACGTGACGGGATTAGCGCCTTTTGCTGTGAAGTGACATCTGACAGCTGAGGACTCCGCTTGCCATTAAAGCCTTCAACGGGCAGTTATGTAAAAAATTGTTAGAAATATGGAAAGGAGGACTGGAAAAGTCAATAAATATACAGGACGTCCCGGCTAATGCGGCCAGTCAGCCTTAGCACACAATAAGCAATATATAGCTTTTATTATTACTATTTCTGTAGTTACAGTACGCAGCAGGGCAGACCACGACTGAAACCATACATTTAGCTCAAAACTGTTGAAAGGCCCTCTTGTGGTAGACAAGATAAAATGTTTGACTAGTGTTACTTTGTTGTGTTCTCATTTGTTTAACCCTCCAGTCATATCCCATCACAATTTCATAGCAACAAAAAAAAACTAAATGATGTAGTTTTTTTATGAAATGTTTTTCTCAAAAAAAAAAAATAAATAAATAACCGTTTTCTATTTTCTTATTTCTATGAAGACGGTATACTGTACATGTATACACACACACACACACGCACACACACACACACACACACACACACACACACACACACACACACACACACACACACACACACATTATATATATATATATATATATATATATATATATATATATATATATATATATTTTTTTTTTTTTTTTTTTTTTTTTTTTTTTTTTTTTTTTTTTTTGAAAGATGGATGTTCACCTCAGAGCACAAAAGATATCAAGTGTAGAGATTAAAATTGAAGAATTGTGCACTGGTATTCTCGTCATTTACACAGTAAAAGGGGGATGCAATTTTTTTTTTAAGATCATATTTGCCATATTCTAGCACTCCTTTACAATCCCTTCAATAACTCTTCACTGTAATCCTGAAAAACATGAAGAAATTTCTGATTATAACATTAGCATACAATGTTTAACATAATTCAGACACAAAAACATTTAAACACACACACACACACACACACACACACACACACACACACACACACACACACACACCATTATTGTTTTTTCTTAAACTGATGGGATCCACAGGGTAAAACTAGGGGGAAATAGTAAATATTGATAAAATATATAATATAACTAATAATATAACACACACTATGTATATACTGTAAATATACTGTATGTAATATACTATGCAATGCTTACTATAACAGATGAAAAATCTTCGGTCACTGTACACTCTTTACCTGTTAATAATAAATTTAATTTAATAAAAAAGTCACATTCAGTAAAATTGTGAAATATGTGTATATGAGTAAACAGGTAGATATACACTAGAAGTGTAAAATAATCAATGTTCTATCTAATGCTTTTTAGTTGACTTAATCAAATGCAGTTTGCTCAGCTCAGCTTAAATGTGTAGTTTGGCAAACACAAAATAAATGTAACAGTTGATTACCTATTGATCTTTTAATTATTATTATTTGAGGCAGTTGGTATACATAATTTGTATATTGGCTAATTTGATTATACAGCACACATGCAACATACACAAGTTGTATAATCTCATACAGCAATGACCCAGTTTACAGAAGGATTATATCTATTACCATAATTTAGAAATAATTTCCCTGCATTTATTTTTATTGATTTTTATTTGAATTGTTTAATATCATGTCTATACTAATATACGTTCAGTGTGTATGTTTATGAAAATTAGAATGGAGAAGAAATATTAGCATGGATATTATTTAGATAATTATCTGGCCTTTTTACTAATGTTAGGAACATTTTTTTTCACATTTTAGTCATTTATAACAATTTTCTGAGATTTAGACATTTTTGCAGTAGCCTATGTTAAAATATATGGAGCAGTTAAACCAGATTCTTATTAGATATAGAGTGTTTCAAGTGTGCAGTATATGCATATATTTATGCATCATTTGTTTGTAGAAATATTCATGCATCAGGTTCCCAGATTGATTTAAATCTTTACCTTGGCACAAACAAACACAGAAGGCTAAAGCCATACTCAGGAATGCTGATCCACAACCCCAGTAGAGAAGCCAGGAAGTTCTTGGATTTAATCCTGAACTATGACCTATGATCAGAGCAAAATTAATAATGACAATTTAGTGAGTGGAGTTGGTATTTTTTACATAGACCTACAGTATTGTGTATCTTGTTTAAATAGAGTCCGGTGTGGAAATATATTTGTGTTGTTTATCTGTATAACTGTTTATGTTTCATTAAAATATTTAGAAAAACCGAACTCAATCATGCACTTTCCTTTGGCCTAGTCCCTGATCCCTCATCAGATTAGAGGTTGTAAAATGAATTAGCCAATTACGCTGGCATATCTTTAACGCAGCATGCTGCTCTAGCCACAATCCAGCCCTAAGGGTACACTCTGTCTTTCCCAAAGCTGGGTAACACACAAACGCTCTTTAATATGTTGGAGTTCCTTTATGCGTGCCAAAGATTTTTGTAAAATTATTGCCCGACTATGACAAAAAAGACACTTTGAACAAACTTAAAAAAACTGACTCTAATTTGCTACAGCTATTTGTTTGTTTTCCTCAGATATATAATTTAACTTTGGTTCAAACTATGACATTTAATTTAATCTAAATCAAAAATATTTTTTGTGGTCAATAAATAAATTACATTCACACAAAGTAAAAATTATTGTTTAATATAGTATATAATAAACCATTGACAACCAATTTTTGTTGTTCTGTAGCTGTAGTCATTGGAGAGTGTTTTGTCACTCAAACTATCCACCTCACTGTACATCAAGACAATACAGACACAAGTGCTCTTTACAGTTAAGAATATACTTCAAATATATTTCTCTCCTAAGAATTTTTAATGGAGAAAAACTTTTATTTCATAACTCTCTGCCCACTTTATCAAATGAAAGATTAGATAAACAAAACAGATTTATTTTCACAGCAACATTCTTTGTCACATTTACAAGTGTGCCAATATTTTTCACCCTGACTGTATTCATGGATTTAGACTAAATATATTTCCCAACAGAGATCTATAAATTCTGAAATGGAGTAAAAAAGGCACTAATTTTGTCCTAATGTTTCTCTAAAACCCTTATAATTCAGCTTATTCACCATATTGCTTCAGAGTTTTAGAGAAGTTTTGGCCTTTATATTCAACACAGCACTGAAATTCCTCAGCTTCAGTCCACTCTTCTGCAGGAACAGAGAGATGAGCTCTGGTGAATTCAGTGGCTGAAGCAGTGTCATTTGTCCAGGCTGACTCGGTCCATCCAGAGAGCACTTTCTCTCCAATCATCCAGAAAAACCCGCACCTGAAACGGGACAACGCCTAAAACCAAACACTGGAGCTGCACTGATGGTGAATCAGCTTCTGAAGGTGAGTATATGATGGAGAGTTCTGGAACAGAGTCATCTGCAGCACAGAACATCAAGACAAAATAATTTCCTGTTAGTAGACTTCTGTGACTTTACAGTATAAGTGTACACAAGATTTAATTTCAGAATAACCTGTTACAATCACTCTGGATCCATTTCCGAATACAGCCATTGAGTAAAAAAAGCTAAAGCAATAATACAAGCCAGAACCATAAGGAGTTAAGTTATTTAGAGTCAAAAGGCATGTGTTACAATCATATTGAGGGTAATTGTTTTCAGGTATGTTTACTACTCTTGTAAGTTCACCAGTATGTAGTGTAGCGAGGCAGAGGGAAAACAGCGGCACAACAGGATGAGTTTACAGACAAGTCCCCGGAGGGTGCTTTATTTACAAAGTGAATGTGTTGTAAAAGGTGCTCTTCTTTAGGGTGAGGTGCTCTGGTGCTCCGGGAAGTAGGTGAAGGACAGTGAGTAGTCGGGTGAAGGATCGTCACGAGCTGGAGTCCGCTATGGAGAGACAGAGAGACAAGCATTAGCACAGGGAGTCATAGAAAGAATGAAGCTCATCTTCTCCTGGCGTAGGTTGGGCTTATATGTCTCTCCGCTTGATGTCCTCCAGCTGTGTGCGATCCTGGCTTGATGAAGGTCCAGCTGGGTGAAATTAGCGACCAGGGCGACGTGGCATATAATCGCTCGCTACATTCCCCCCCCCTTAGC